AGCCTCGGGCGAATCGAAGAATTGGTATCCCATCCGAGGCCTTGCGGGGCGGGGCCTCGGCGAGGGGGCCTCGGCGAGAGGGCCTCGGCGGGGCGGAGGGCTTTAGTCTTTTGTCTGAGGCCTCGGCGCAAGCCTTGGGCGAGTCGGAGAATCTGCCGAGACCTCGTGGTTGTCCTTTGGCTTTGATTTTTGCAAGGCTTTAAGCAATATTTTTGGTTCTTGCTTAGGGTACCCCTTCTTGTGGTATCCGACAAATAGAGTCGGTTTAGATTAGATACGATTTAGAGAAGTCAAAATATATAAGGATTTTCCTCATTAGATTATTTGAGAGGCAAGTCTATTCGGACTATAAATATAGGGGCATTGTAATTATCTGGATTCAAGAAAGAAATAGCTACGGCTTTCCCCTATCCCCCTCTTCCTCTACGCCTCCCTCTTCCTGTCCCTGCCGCCGCTCCCTCCCTAGCACCGTCGCCCACCAGGGCCTCAACCCTAGCTGCCGCCCCCAGCCACCCCAAAGAAAGGACTATTACACTCACACTTGTCATCAATCAGGAAAAATGTGTATCTTTCAGGTTTAGTCCTAAATTGCTTGCTAACAAATATGTGTAAAACAGTGTCACAATTTCCAGCAGCGAAGAGATTATCTGGCAACAAAATGTCAACCTTTATCCTTATGGAATATTTGGAACATATAAAGCTTCTAGAGGTCAGTATATGAGAGAAACGAAGGCGCACGTGTGTAGCAGCATTGGAAACAAGCTTTTGTTTATTTTTTCTTTTGTTTTGACGGGTGTCAGAGACAAGCTTTGGCTTCTGAGTAACAGACAGAGTCAGCACATTTAAAGGGCCAACCTGAAGGTAAAGCATGCAGTTGCATAGCTCGGACAATGTGGGTACCAAGTAAAGCAGCATTCCCACAATTGTCATTCTCCACCACTCAATCCGCCACTTCAATGCCTTGAAGCACGCTTGCTCTCAGCTGGGACTAGTCGTGCAGCTAGAAACATCATGAGGAAGCTAGTTAAACTGTGAAAGTATGTGGATTTGATGGACACAAATCAGGGTATATACAGATCAGCATCAGCTTTCTGCATTGGAAGCCTGCAGTTTCAGTTCAACAAAAAGCATCAATTTGGATCATCTACCATCATGCAGCAGTTTGCAGTTCAAATGTGGCTATTAGATCAAAATTCAACAACAACAACAAAGTCTTTAAGTCCCAAACAAGTTGGAGTAGGCTAGAGTTGAAATCCAGCAGAAACAATCAATGTTCAGGCACGTGAATAGCTATTTTCCAAGCACTCCTATTTAAGGCAAAGTCTTTGGGTATATTCCATCATTTTAAGTCTCCTTTTATTGCATCTACCCAAGTCAATTTCGGTCTTCCTCTACCTCTCTTCACGTTACTATCCTAACTTAGGATTCCACTACGCACCGGTGCCTCTGGAGGTCTTCGTTGAATATGTCCACACCATCTCAACTGGTGTTGGATAAGCTTTTCTTCAATTGGTGCTACCCCTAATATATCACGTATATCATCGTTTCGAACTCGATCCCTTCTTGTATGACCGCAAATCCAACGCAACATACGCATTTCCGCGACACTTATCTGTTGAACATGTCGTCTTTCCGTAGGCCAACATTCTGCACCATACAACATAGTAGGTCTAATCACCGTCCTATAAAACTTGCCTTTTAGCTTCTGTGGTACCTTTTGTCACATAGGACACCAGATGCTTGGCGCCACTTCATCCACCCTGCTTTGATTCTATGGCTAACATGTTCATCAATATCCCCGTCTCTCTGTACCATTGATTCTAAATATCGAAAGGTATCCTTCCTAGTCACTACTTAACCTTCTAAACTAATATCTTTCTCCTCCTGAGTAGTAGTGCAAAAGTCACATCTCATATACTCAATTTTAGTTCTACTGAGTCTAAAACCTTTGGACTCCAAAGTCTTCCGCCATAACTCAAGTTTCTGATTCACTCCTGTCCGGCTTTCATCAACTAGCACTATATCGTCCGCGAAAAGCATACACCAAGAGATGTCCCCTTATATGTCTCTTGTGACCTCATCCATCACTAAGGCAAACAGATAAGAGCTCAAAGCTAACCCTTGATGTAGTCCTATCCTAATCGGAAAGTCATCCGTGTCTCCATTATTTGTTCGAACACTAGTCACAACATTGTTGTACATGTCCTTAATGAGCCCGATGTACTTCGCTGAGACTTTATGTTTATCCAAAGCCCACCACATAACATTCCTTGGTATTTTATCATAAGCCTTATCCAAGTCAATAAAAACCATGTGTATGTCTTTCTTCTTCTCCTTATACCGCTCCATAACTTGTCTTATTAAGAAAATGGCTTCCATGGTTGACCTTTCGGGCATGAAACCAAATTGGTTCATAGAGATCCGCGTTATTGCTCTCAAGCGATGCTCGATAACTCTCTCCCATAGCTTCATAGTATGGCTCATCAACTTAATTTCTCGGTAATTATTACAACTTTGAATATCCCCTTTATTCTTGTAGATCGGTACCAATATACTTCTCCTCCACTCGTTAGGCATCTTGTTCGATCGAAAAATATGGTTGAATAACTTGGTTAGCCATACTATAGCTATGTCCCCGAGGCATCTCCACACCTTAACTGGGATACCATCCGATCCCACCGTCTTACCTTCTTTCATCCTTTTCAACGCCTCTCTGACATCAGATTCTTGATTCTCCGCACAAAGCGTCTATTGGTGTCATTAAAAGAGTCATCCAACTAAAAGGTTGTGTCCGTATTCTCACCATTGAATAATTTATCAAAATACTCTTGCCATCGATGTCGGATCTCATCCTCCTTCACCAAGAGATGCTCCCTTTCATCCTTAATGCACTTAACTTGGTTGAAGTCTCTCGTCTTTCTCTCACGAACCCTAGCCATCCTATAAATGTCCTTCTCTCCTTCATTCGTACTCAAATGTTGGTAAAGATCCTCGTACGCTCTACCCTTTGCCACACTTACAGCTCGCTTTGCAGTCTCCTTTGCCACCTTGTACTTCTGTATGTTGTCCACACTTCTGTCATGGTACAAGCATCTATAGCATTCTTTCTTCTCCTTAATAGCCCTTTGGATTTCCTCATTCCACCACCAAGTATCTTTAGCCTCGCCTCCACTTCCTTTGGTTACTCCACACACCTTTGAGGCCACCTTCCGAATGTTGGTTGCCATCTTCTTCCACATGTTGTTTATGTCCTCTTCTTCGTTCTAAGAGCCCTCTTTGATAACCCTTTCTTTGAATACTTCTGACGTCTCCCCTTTCAGTTTTCACCATTTTGTTATTTCAATCTTAGTTTATTTATCCCTACGGGCACGCACCTGAAAACGAAAGTCTACCACCAAAAGCTTATGTTGAGAAACAACACTCCTCTGGTATCACCTTGCAACCCAAGCATGCTCATTTGTCCTTTTTTCTTGCGAGGACAAAGTCAATCTGGCTAGAGTGTTGTCCACTGCTGAAGGTCACCAAATGAGATTCTCTCTTTCTAAAGAAAGTGTTGGCTATCATCAGGTCAAAAGCTATCGCGAAGTCCAGAACTTCCTCCCCCTCCTGATTCCTACTACCATACCCAAAACCTTCATGAACTACCTCAAAACCTACGCTTGTAGTACCTACATGCCTATTAAGATCTTCTCATATAAAAAGCTTCTCACTACTAGGTACAGCTCTAATCAGACCATCTAAGTCTTCCCAGAACTGTCTCTTAGCACTCTCGTCGAGGCCTACTTAGGATGCATACGCACTAATTACGTTCAAGACCATATCACCAACGACAAGCTTGACTAAGATGATCCTATCTCCTTGCCTTCTCACTCCCACCACACCATTCTTGAGGCTCTTATCAATCAAAACTCCTACTCCATTTCTATTCGCGACTGTCCCTGTGTACCAAAGCTTGAAACATGTATTGTCCACCTCCTTTGTCTTCTGACCCTTTCATTTAGTCTCTTGAACACAATATATTTACATGCTCCTAGTCGCAGTATCAACTAATTCTCTTATCTTACCTGTAAGCGACCCTACATTTCAACTACCTAAACGGATCATAGTTGGTTCGACTAGCTTCCTTACTCTTCGCACCCGTCGACTCAGATGTGAAGACCCTTGCTCATTTTTCACTACACCTGGCGCAAAAAGACAAAAACCTACAGTCTTTGTGAACTCGGGTACCGCTGTAGTGTTCATTATAGCAGAATATTACAACACATACATGCCAACAGAAAGGCAAAAGATCAGTGGTGCTAGAGCTGCTGAGATAAGGAAAATAACAGGAATGCTTAAACTAGAATTGAACATAATACATCTCAACTAGAACAGGTTCAGGATTACCTAGTTGAACAGCAGTTGTTTCTAGGATGGTATACTAGAAACTGGCATGTTTTATAATAAAATATCAAATATGCATATTCAATGAAACATTTGAGTAAGAAACATGTAAGCACATTTAACATAGCTCTCAAGTTCTAAAATCCCAGTGAATAAAAGTTTCAGGAAACAACACTTGAACTGCTCAACCAGCCACTTCGCTCTTATCAACTAATTCTCAATTGTCATCCAAAATCCATATACACACACCAAAAAAAAAAACATGTACCAGCGCTAGCCTAATATCCAAACTCCAAAGGAATAGAACTTCAACACGAATCCATTCATACTCAACAAACCTGCAAGCATAAGCACGGTGAGATCGCAGCATTTTTATCATGATCAGTAATAGTCAATTTGCTACTGGGTTTTGCCAAAAAATTTACTCACATGGACAGATGTATTTTCCTAAGACCTCACTACTTAACAAAGTGTGTATGCTCTAGTGCTCTACCAGTTCTTTTTCTTCACAAACAAGGCGACATAGCAAGAAAACCCTTGATTAAGATCAACAGGGAGTATCAGACTTGAGAAATCACTACCAGCAACTAAGCTACTGCCTATCAATCTGATGACCCTCAGTCAGTGTCTCCCTCAGATGTGGAATTGGGCTTGGCCTTCTCTTGGATGAGGGTGTTGATTAGTTGCAGCAGGTCGGTCCTCATGGCCTTGACGCTGCGGGCGTCCACCTCCCTCCTCACCGCCTCGAGCCAATCCCCTCCCCGTCCCCGGTGGTCCTGGGCGTCGTTCCACCAGGCGCAGATGGCCCTGACGATGGCCATGACGTAGACGCCGCAGTCGTAGCCGTTGGTCTGCCTCGGTGTGTGCCCCTGGACGAGCGGAACTGTGCCCGAAACACTGCCTTGCCCTTGCAGCAGGGGGCGGAGCACGTCGGCGAGGCGGGCTCGGCGATGGGGAGGTTGGGCGCGCCGCGGAGGCTGTCGTGGTGGACGAAGCGGGGCGCGGAGGGGCTGGTGGCGCTGTCGAGGACGAGGAGGGTCCAGTGGGAGCCGCCCTCGGCGACGGAGGCGTCGGGGTTGTCGTTGACGGGGAGCAGGACGAGGCGGCGGGAGGCGAGGCGGAGCGGGTCGGCGACGGCGGCGACGGAGTCCGGGTCGGGCAGGTTGGAGAGGAGGTAGAGGTCGTCTCTGTAGAGGCCGGCGGAGAGGTGGGCGAAGTAGAAGGGCGATGATGCGGTCGTTGATGAAGCGGGGCCCGCGGAGGATGGCGAGGTCGGAGCGGATGAGCTCCACGTCGCCGTGGCTGAGCACCCACTCCTCTCTGGAGCCGGAGCCGGAGCCCATCACGGCGGCCGCGGCGCCGACTGGTGGGATGGGGTTTCCTAGTAGAGTAGACACCGACGACGACTGACGAGCGAGCGAGGAAGGATCGTGGGCCGGGTGAGGCTTCTTCCTCTTTCTATCTAGGAAATAGGCCTCTTCTCCATGACCCGTCGTAGGCCCAAGGCAGGCACGGCCCACAAGGAAGGAACACGTCGCAGTCCAGCCATCCGACCTTGAATTCTAGGATGCCTGCTTGTTGTATACTACAGTAAGTACTTTCTTCCTTCCCTTGACATTTGACACATCATCTTGCAATTCATTCATTCATTCAGGCGCCAGTAATCTCATTTCACTCTACTGTCATCAGGTGATTCTATTGTCCAGAGTGATGCTACTAGCATTGTTCCTCACTTCCCCCTTATCAGAATATGGATCAGAGCACGGCATCAAAACGAATCCTACAGTTGGCTATGTAAGTGTCAGAGTGACTTGGAGTTGTATTGATAGAAATTGTCAAAGCAGCTTATAGCTAGATCTATGTGCAGAGTTCATTGAAAATATATCCTTTTGGTTCAGTAACAATGGGAGAAAAGGAGAAATTCTGCACATGTTCTGGAAAATCTGCACATTTTTGCACTTTGTTTTCAAATTATAATTATGTGCACATTATATGCTCCTGCATTGCTGAGGAAAAATTTCAACTCATCTAGTTGCTAAAGAAAAGACGCACCTTGTCTTATTGTATTGGTCTAGCTAGTTACCATCATCACCAATTGGCGTGCTCATTCTTGGCACACTCGTTAGGAGAAAATGTGTTGTGTCACTGCAAATCTTGTTTTCCGTCTTTTGCTGTGACTATAGTAGTACTCAGTGCTGCTTTCAAGTTTTGACTCTAATGTTATGATGTCAGGGAATCTTACTGTAATAAGTGACTACAGTTTCTCACTTTCTTTTTTGGAGGAAAATTTTTTATGTGTCAATCACAGAGAAATATAGTTATCGTTCGTGACTATCTTTTTTATCCGTTGAATGAAGCAGCTACATTGCGCATATTTGTCACCACAATAAAAAAAAGAAAAAAACATGATGGGAAAAAGATGTAAATATATAATGATAAAAACAAACTTGGAGACCCGCGCACTCGATCTGATTATTAGCAAGCGGGGAGGAATCAATTGTTACATTTATGGGCTAATAAGCTAACAATAAACTACGAAGACTATTTATATAGTATGCTCCAAATAAACAACAATGCGTGCGAACTCAATCTGCCTTATTCTTTTTCAGATAACTCCCCCATCCAGCATGGTGTGTATAGGAATGCATTTTCCATTTCAGGTATATTTATGGTGTCTAAATCTTGAACCTTTGAGCTGTTCAGATGATAAGTTATTGCCCTTGTTTGTGATATGCAAAGGAAGGCAATCTCTTTGTAAGGATGAAATCCGAGGAAATATATTAGATGCAGCCAGTTGTCTTTGGCCTTGGTTTGAGGGATGATAGCACCATTGTCAAAATCCCATTCAGCAAACTCCCCCTCCCCCTCCTCCTCTTGTGCAGTAGGTTGTGTTTCCTTGTCCTTATTGGATTTCTTCTTATAGTTAATGATCCATGGTCGTCATATTTTTCATTATCAACGGCGAAATTCACCACTGCTTCAAGGCTGACGTTACACTTGAGCACCCAGTCTGCCTGACCAGCAGAAAATTCACTAAACATCTTATAATTTGGAACGGAGGAAGTAACTAAAATATTTATTTTGTACTGTGTTATATTTTCAAATCAATTGAAACAAACTAATGTTCGTTCAACTATAGCAAGTAAAATAATGTGTACACCGTTTCAGCTCGTGGCTATATATATAAGTGCGTGGGCCTTTAACTTTGTGCGAGATGCAGGCAGTGATTCAAAGATATATCGCCACAAAAATGAAAGCAAAATATGCATGACGAAAGACAATTTTGACAAATAAAGTTGAAGATGTATGGGCACTCTGATTATTCCATATACTTATAGCAAGTGGCGGGGGATCAACATGTAGCTCCAAATAAACAAACAAACAGAGTCACTGCAACGATCACGCCTCGCTACGGAGCATCGCTTCCGCTGGGGGCGAGTCTACTCCAGGCGGCCATGTGTCCTCCCCCCACATCGGAAGCAGGCACAGCCGGTGGGAAGCACCCAGGTGGTTCGCTTCCGCCCTGGGCTCGTCTACTCCAGACGCTGCGCCCGCGGAACGCCCACCAACTGCTCGCGCAGTCGACGCATGACAGATGGACTTCACCAGCAGCAACCGGGCCAGACCAGCGCCTGTCACACCAGCACCCCGGAGGTACACGTCGACGCTGGCCAGAGCACAACGCACACTGCAGCGGCGGTGTCATAGTTCCTAATGGGGATCTCACAACCTCTGCCTCAACCCATTTTGTAGGGTCCAGTGCGCTAGCCCAGCCTGCCACAGCGACGCAAGAGGCCACCGGTCCCGGCACGCAGGAGCGTGCGCATTGCGGCCAAGATCTGGCCAAGGGGGGACACCCAGGCGAAGGCCAGACAAGTGCTCATGAAAAGGCTTGGCATCCTCGACGTCCAAGGCCTCAACCATGATGAGGCGATGCTGCGCTACTTCAACCTGTTCAAGGGACCGCTCGACGACGACACTGTCAAGGCGCTGACGGCACTGTGTGGCCTCGACGCAGCGGCAATGCTGCCCACCACCAGCGCCTAGATAGCTACTGTGTTGCAGGGGTAGGTTATTAGACGATGTTAGTAATCGTGCACCGCAACGGGAGCTCAGGGAGCTCTGCATCTTTTGTGCTTGTCCAGCTATGGTGTTTGGGAGGGGCGACAGCCAGAGGCCTTCAGTCGTCTCCCCATCAAACTACTTGGACCCTCCATCTCACAGTTAGCTGTAGCATTACCTCTGTGAGCAGCAAACTTTTGCTTTGTTTCGCTCTGCCGACGGCCGGCTTTCAGATGTATCGGCGTTTTCAGCTTGCAACTCTCTTGAATCCATGCATCCGTGTCATTATCTTACTGCTAATTGCCAGTTCAAATGTCCTTGGTGGCACCATGCTTGCCTCCCTCCTCCGAGCATTTTTAAAAAGGGACCAGTTGGTTTCCTTATGGCACAATTGAATTGCAACATACTTAACTGGAACGTCAGGGGCTTGAATGACGGAGCACGACATGACTCGGTGTGCGAGTTAGTGAGAACCACTGCTGCAACCGTTGTATGTCTATAGGAAACAAAGATGCAGGTTATAGATCATAATGTGGTACGCCGAACAGTCGGAGCGAAATTTGTAAACTCCTATACGGTGCTACCGGCGGAACAGACTCGAGGAGGCGTCTTCCTTGCAGTGAATGAAGACTTCTTCGACCTCTCCGACATTGTACTTACCTCGAACACCATAACCGCGCAGATCAACATGAGGGCCGATGGAACAAGGTGGTAAATTACAGTGGTATACGGCCCGCAGGGAGAGGCAGCTAAACTTCAATTCCTCCAAGAATTGAAGAACATTCCACCGCTGGTCCACAATAGATGGCTCATCCTGGGAGACTTCAATCTCATCTACCAGGCGGAAGACAAAAACAACTCCAACCTAAACCGGTGCCTCATGGGGGCATTTAGAGCGACGATCGATCATTTGAGGCTCAAAGAAATCAAGCTAAATGGGCGCCGCTTCACTTGGAGCAATCAACAGGACAACCCGACGCTCACTAGAATTGACAAACTGCTATGTACCACCGAGTGGGACCTGCTCTTCCCTGCGTGTTTCTTACACTCCCTCCCATCACTCATGTCGGACCATACCCCTCTGCTACTCCAGGGAGAGCTTGACCACCATCACAGCACGTCCTTCCGCTTCGAAAACTACTAGACTAAGATGGAAGGATTTCAAGACCTCATCCATAATTCTTGGAATAGGCCGGTCGCCTCGGCTCTTCCTATCAAACACTTGCATATCAAAATGGCGCGTGTGGCAAAAGCAATCAAGCGTTGGAAGAAAGACAAGATAGGAGATATGAGGATACAGCTCGCCATTGTGAAAGAAGTATTGTTACAACTAGAAGCAGCCCAAGAGCATAGGGTGCTCACTGCCATGGAGCTTCACCTATGTCGCCGACTCAAATCCCGTAGCACTGGGCTCGCTGCTATTGAAAAATTAAGAATCAGACAGAGATCGAGGCTAACTTACATCCGATGTGGAGATGCTAACACAAAATTCTTCCACAGTAGAACCAATGCTCGACGGAGAAAGAATTACATACATTGTCTACATACGGATGGGGGAATCGCGGTGGCCCACCAAGATAAAGAAAAGGTCATACACGATTATTTTAGAAACCACATTGGCTCCACGGCGTCCGAGAGATTCCACAATCAACTGGCAAGCCCTTGGCTATAATCAACATGATCTTTCTGATCTGGAGGTGCCTTTCTCCCAGGATGAGATAAAAAACATTGTATACTCCATGCCTTCCGACAAAGCGCCGGGACCAGATGGCTTCACGGGCGCCTTCTTCAAAGCTTGTTGGGAAACCATTAAAGAGGATGTTATGGCAGCCATGAACAGCTTATTCACATTGAATGCCCAGGGTTTCGAATGGCTAAATTCGGCTTCCATTATCCTTCTACCCAAAAAAACGGATGCAACAAGAGTTACTGACTTTAGACCAATCAGCCTAGTCCATGGCATTGCAAAGATCTTCTCCAAAGTGTTAGCTAACAGACTTGCCCCCCGACTCAACTCCCTCGTCTCGAAATGCCAGAGCGCATTTATAAAAAGGAGAAGCATCCACGATAATTTTCTGTACGTCCACAGCGCGCTCAAAAGACTACACAAGCAGAAGATTTTGGCTTTGTTTATGAAACTAGACATCCACAAAGCCTTTGATACGGTACACTGGGGGTACTTGCTTGAGACAATGCAGGCTCTGGGCTTCGGGCAACGATGGCGGGAATGGATCTCTATCCTCCTACGTACATCCTCCTCGACACCCATGCTGAATGGGCGATAGGGGGCCACCTTTAGCCATGCCAGAGGCGTCCGTCAGGGAGATCCGCTTTCGCCGATGCTATTCATCCTAGCTATGGACCCGCTTCAACGTCTGCTTGACCTAGCAACTCAATAGGGGATTCTCACCCCCTTACCAATCACGGCGGCTAAATGGAGAACCTCATTGTATGCAGATGATTCCGCCATTTTCATCAGCCCCACAAAAGACGATGTAGAAGCTGTCAAAACCATCCTGCAGGCGTTTGGCACATTCTCGGGACTCCATATTAATCTACAGAAGAGCTCTGTGCATCCAATTGGTTGTGAAAACGTCGACATAAACCAAGTACTGTCACCTTTCACCGGTACTAGAGGGGGCTTCCCATGCAAATATTTGGGGCTACAACTCCACATTAGATCACTGCAAAGGATCCATGTGCAACCTCTCATAGACCGGATTGGGCACAGGCTACCCAAAATAAATGAAGATGGCTGCACAGAGCGGGACGCCTCACTCTTGTAACCTCTGTCCTCTCCTCCATGCCAACCTACCACCTGACAGTGTTTCCTCTCGCCGCTTGGGCTAAGAAGAAGATCGACAAAATCAGGAGATCTTTCTTGTGGAAGGGGGAGGAGACTGCAAACGGCGAACACTACCTAGTTAACTGGCAGACAGTTACTAGACCAAAAGACCTTGGCGGTTTAGGCGTCCCTGACTTGGAGAGATTTGGGCGAGCTCTCCGGTTGCGATGGCTTTGGCAGGAATGGGTGGACGATTCCAAGCCTTGGAGCGGCTTGGAGCTCCCATGTTCTGATGATGACCGCCTCCTCTTCAACTCCTCAATCATTATATCTTTGGGAGATGGTGCAAAGACAAAGTTTTGGCACCACAGTTGGCTGGATGGACAGGCTCCTAAGCATCTAGCCCCGAACTTGTTCCGGCTAGTCTCAAGGACAAACCAAACGGTGCAAAAAGAGCTACGGAACAACAATTGGATGCGTAAACTAGGGAGGAAAATCACCTCGGCTACCCACATAGAGGAGTTTGTATCCCTCTAGATACGAATACAGGATGTGCACCTACAGCAGCGCGTCTAGGACACCATCACCTGGCGTTGGACCAATGATGGGAATTTCTCCACCCGCTCGGCATACATAATCCAATTCAGAGGTTCGCTACCCCCCTTCCGTACGGACTTGATTTGGAAAGCGCATGTGGAGAACAGATGCAAGATCTTCGCCTGGATCTTAGTGCAAGATAAAATTCTAACGGCTCATAACCTACAAAAGAGAGGGTGGCCGCACCAACAACAATGTGTCCTGTGCAACGGTACCTTAGAAACAAGCATCCACTTATGTCTTTGTTGCCCTTTTGCCAAGGCGGTTTGGGGTCAAATCCTATCGTGGAAAAAGTTCACTCAACTGCAATAGCACCTCCAGGTACACCCCACCCACATCAAGTCATGGTGGGAAGACACGGCAGCGAAAGTGCCAAGATCTGAGCGTAGGCGGCTGAACGGGGTAGTTATCTACACCTTCTGGAATATATGGAAGGAGAGAAATAGGAGAATTTTTGACAACTTGATAGAAACGGTGCCGCAAGTAGCCGCAAGGATAAAGGAATACATACACCAAAGGAAGAGAGCTCTTGTGTACGTTTAGCTCACATGTGTATGGGGGAAGAGGGATGAAACCTTAATCTCGTTTGTCCTTGCTTGTACATAAACTTTCTTTCCCTATCTTAATTGAAAGGCAGAGCTCCTGCCATTGCGTTAAAAAAAAAATAATATATCTGATACAAGCCAACCACTCATATTAACTGTTTTCAAATAATTCCCCCATGGTCAGCCAGCATGGTGTGTATGGGAAACATTTTCTTATGCCCACCGCTAAACATATGTCGCCGCCCAACTGTTGAACCTTTGAGGTATTCAAATTATAAGATATTGTCCTCGATGATAAGGAAAAGAAGACAATCTTTTTGTAAGGATGAAATCCGAGAAAATCAACAGGATAGGTGTCTGCTTCGGCCTTATTATTATCATTGTTGGCTTCAAGGACAATCTCATCAGCATTGTTAAAGTCCCATTCATCATCATCAGCAAACTCGTCGCCGTCATGTGCAGCAGCAGCAGCAGCAGGTGGTGGTGCTTCTAATTCCTCCTCGTTATAGTTACGGATGACCCTCCATTCATCATCGACAAAGCTATGACCGTGAAGAGGAGGATGTTTTGCCAGCAGTGGTTCAAGGCTGATGTTAGTCTTCAACACCCATTCCAAGTGAATAATGTGATTTCCATCATTGATCTCTTCCTCCTCCTTGAGCAACCAGACTCGAAACTGGGGGCAGCTACCAAAGTCGGCCCGATAAAGTAACGCAGAGTACACTCCTTTCTCTGATTTTCCCAAGTAAAAGGTAGCACGCTCAGCACCAAGTTTGCTCCGTGTTGCTGGAGATCTCACCATTTGATACTTATTGTCATTGGACAAGGCTATCCTGCAATTAATTAATTACAAAAAGCATGAATACATATGCATGTGTGCTTAATCAGCACTAGATCGAGCAAATAAATCATATATATAGCATGCGGTTGTACAACAACAATACTCGGTGCCTACTACTAGCTAGTTAGTACCTCATGACAGAATCATTTTGACAATGCACATAGAGTGCTCCCCGGAAATAGACGGCCTTGCGGTCCCAGCAATTGGATTGCAGCATATCGGCCATGGTCCCGGCAGGCTCCCCTTGGCGGATCCAGGACCTCTCCTCCCACCTCCATCTCGCTGACGAGAAGACGTGGGTTCTGAACGTCGATGGCGGCCATTCTTGCTCCTCAATGTCGATGGTGACGTTTTCCCGATTGCCCAGATCACGGCCTAGTAAGGGGATAAGAAATACCTCGAAGTGCTGCGGTGACTGCACCATGGGATCGTACACAAGGTAAAAGCTTGAATACAAGCAGTGGTTGTCCTTTTCTTCACCCATCGTCGTCCTCCAGACGGCTACCCCAAGCATGTCGCCAATGGATGGTTCCGGGGAGGTAGGCAAGTTGGCCCATTGACGTGTGGCAGGGTTGGCCACCATGTCACACACCAAGAGCAGACCATTGCAGCGATCCTGCACTCCCAGATCGAAGTAATCTTCCAGGAAGTCAAGGCAGCCGCCGGGGATTCGACATGCTGCCGAAGGACGTGCGAAGAAATATGTCAGCCGGTCGATGAGGCCGAGGTTAATTAGCTTACTGTGAATTGGCGGCGCGGATCGGATATATATATATATATATATATATATATATATATATATATATATATATATATATATATATATATATATATATATATATATATATACAAACTCGAACTCAAAAGTCAAATTTAAAATTCTCGAGTTACTATTCACAGCACTATTCAAATTCGGCATTCACTGTTCAAATTCGTGGCACTATTCAAAATACTCGCTACTATTTAAATTTGAAATATAAACAGTGCGTGAGCACTCACCAGAGGGTGGCTCAGTCACTCAACTTCTTCACTATTATTGCACTATGCGCTTAACTATTTGAAGCACTTTGTATTGCTTTATGAATGAAGGATGCATGCGATTAGTGAGTATGTGTGCGATTAGTGAGTATGCTGGTTAATATTTCTCATGATGTTTTGCAGGCTGGCGAGACCAATATTTCAGCTGGTCGTGCGACTATGCTTGTGACAGTCCTACTTGGTACTCACCGTATGCATCACTAGCTCGTTTCAGAACCAGGCTAACCTGGTCTACTCCCTCGCTATCCCAGCCACGAACACACAGGACTCAGGCTCTATCGTCTCCCCAGGCAGTTTCATCCGAAGGGAACACTTCTCTACGCACACAGGGTTCTCTACAAACGTCGCTACCAGGGCTAACACGAGAACAACACACGCAGAGGCTTCTCCTCTAGGGTCCCTAGCATAGAGACATCGCCCCATAAGAACGAGCTTAAAGGAAGGCAGGGATTAAAACAGGAAAGCTTAATTCATTTCCATAGAGCAAGCTTACATACGGCTTTCCCTTTCGGGAAACCTCAAGCACTTAACACAAACCTGAGGGATTACCTTACAAGCTCAGGAGGAACACGGGGACCTCCCTTATTCTGTAATTTACAAATGGTGGAGTGATACAATGCTAATGGGTGATTACTATTATTTGTGGATGGGTCTCAGAGTGCTTCTGAGATCATGTCTTCATGTGTATGTGTGAGTGGTGAGTTGGTGGAGTGTGGTGTCTTCGGTGTCTGGTGGTTCGCTCCGATGCTGAATGCCCATGATGGATGAATGCGCCTGGCTTCTCGCTTTATAGCACGAAGGGAGTGTCCTTTCATGCTTATCGTCTGAAGTTCCTTCGAGGTGAAGTCATCGTCTAAGGAGCCTTCGTGCTTAAGGAAGCATCTCGCGTCTTCAATTATCATCTTTTACTGTTGCCTGGACAGCTGGACGGAGAATAATTGTCCTGGCTACAGTAGATGCTATAGTAGAGTGACTACATATTCCTTTTGCGCTGTCCTTCGTCGCGTACGGTCTTATCCTTCTAGATATTCTTTGGTATGGTCTTCCACGTCCGAATGATTAATGTTGCAAACATCAAATCAAATATCATGCCATGGAGTATATGTATTGTAATATTATCTTATTATCTCTTTCCCCGGTCAAATTGTTGATAACACCTTATCAACATAAGGAGTATATTTCTTGTATATATATTGATATTGAACTGAGTCTATATTGACTTTTCAATTTTTTGTTCGTTGTCCGCTTCTTCAGGTTGCCATATTTCATACTAGGACAACAATTCACAATATTCTTTTCGTAATTGACAATCTTTGCCATAACTAGGCTTTATTAGCCTATGGAACATATGTATTTTAATTTTCATCATATTGAAATCTAATATTCTGGTCTTTGTCCATGACCACGGATATCCAACATATCATCATCATTTTCATCATAGTTTGATATCTGTATATTCATTTTTGACTCATAATCTTTCTTAATATTTTCTTCATAGTCTTTCCTTAGATTTTCAATTTTTTCATCTATTTCACCTTTTATTTCTTGTAAGATTTCTTTCTTTATGTCTTTCTTCCATTGAAGAGTTATTGACTCTAGTTTTTCTTTCATCTTAGTATTAACATATTCTTCATTCAATGAAACTATGTCTTTTTTACCGTTTCTTTATATGTATGCGGTGTTGACGGTCCATCTTCTTTTATATTTGGCCCTACCCATATTGGTTTTATTTCATTGGCCTTCTTATATTTCTGGATATAGTCTTTAGCTGCTGGCTCTAAATAATAGTTTACTCCCAGAATAGTTCTTGCATATGAAAGAACTTGATCAATGTCTAAATATTTTTTCCAAGACACTCCTCCATCTTTTTCTTTTTCTATCTGCTGAGCAATAACTTTTTCAAATGATATATAAATTCCTGGTGTTTTTCCCCTATATATAACATATATGGCTTTTTTCTCCATATTGCTAGATGGTTCTTTTGGTTGCATTTTACCATTAATCATATGAAAATATTCAGCAAGATTATTTAATATAGCTAGCATATAACCTTTATCTTCTCTTTTATTGTTATATTGAAACAAAAAAATATCTAGAATGCATTCTTGTATGTCATCTAGAACAATATGATCTCGATGCTTAAATTTATAGGTAATTGGTGGGAAAATTCTTAGCTTATTATCAGTTCCAAAGCTGAAACATTCACCCCCAATAGGGCTTGCTCCTCTCTTCATTCCTGCAAAATAGAAGATCGTGAAAATATATCAGGCAATGTATTATCTTTGCCTTTTATATGCTCAAATATTACTTTATAACCATTTCCAGTAATAATATCTTTAAATAAAACCTATCGTCTAGTTGAACTTTTCTTACTATTGACTTTATTGTAGTATCTGCATATAGCTTCACAGTCGGTTCTAACTGTGAACTCTTTAAATCATAGATATAGTCTAAAAGCATTTATTGCATTTATAACAGCTAAAATTTCCCTATCCGTATTGTTTATTGCTTTTAGCTTATATTTTTCTGAAGCATATCTACATCTTTTTTCTTCTAACTTTGGAGAGTACTTGTGTGGTTTTTGTTTTAATATTGCACCCCATCCTAACTTGGATGCATCAGTCTCTGTAATAAAATAATTATCATCTAAAGGTAACTCTAGGGGTTTTAAGTCTTTGACCTTTTCTTTAATAGTTCTTACTAACTTTATATCTTCAGAATTAAAATATTTTTGACTGTTTTTTCTTAATTTTGCATACAATGGACCAGCTAGCTTAGCTAAATTTTTAATATAATTTCTAGCATAATTTACTATTCCTAAGAATTGTTGCAGAGTTTTCTTATTATTCATGACATCTGGAAATTCTAAAATTTTCTTTGCAATATGATCTTGTAAATAAATTTTCCCTCTCCTATTTCATGACTAAAAAAATTATCTTTTCTTTACATATCTCTATTTTCCTTTTAGACAATATTAATCCATGTTGTTCTACCTTTCTAAAGAAGGTTTCAGATGAGCTATATATTCTTTATAGGATTTTGAGAATACTAATAAGTCATCAATATAAACTAATATGAATTCTTGATTTTCATTAAAAATATTTTACATTTTTCTTTGAAATAAAGTAGGGCCATTTTTTAATTCTAAGGGCATTACTAGCTATTCAAAATGACCTTGAGGACATGTGAAAGCAGTTCATTCTATTGATTCTTCTGCCATTTTTACTTGCCAAAACTCAGCTTTTGGATCAAATTTTGAAAAATATTTGCTTCCTTATATTCTGTTTATCCATTCTTGCTTATTTGGGATATTATAAGCATCATCTATAGTATTATCATTTAGCCTTTTATAATTAATAAGCATTCTTGACTTTCCTCTAGCTATTTCAGCATGATTTCTAATTATAAATGAAGCTGATCTATGAGAACTTCGGCTTTCTCTTATAGCTCCTAATTTTAATAATTCTTCGATATGCATCTTAAATTCTTCTATATCTTTAGGTGTTGCTTCTATAGGACTTGTCTTGATTATATAATCAGGATTTATTATGTTAATCTTACATATTATACCATTTTTATCCCAATGCTTCATTGATATTTCTCCGATTATCTGAATATCTTCCAATCTTGTTACAATTTTATCTATATCTTTTTTAGATTTTATATCTCTATACCAATTTGGTGCTAATGATTGCAGACTGATACATTCTATGCATGAATTTGCTATATGAAAATCTTTTATACATTCACCTAACTCTTCATCTATATGATTATCAGGGACATTTTCATCAGATCCTTGGAGTTCTAGGTTGGTCTTTCCTGGATTAGAATTTATAGACTTTCGTACTTCTGTTATATATGGAATGTTGTCTTGATAAGGAATAAATTGAGGGAAGATCTAGGAGATATTTGGTTGGTGGTGGACCGGACCGGCCGTGGAACTGGATGGGAGGTAGGGTGGCGACAGGTCGGAGAAGGACCACCACCATGACGACGGCTATGGAATCGATGGATAGGTGGTAGTCGGAATCGGATGGATTATTAATTAGGTTATAAGCTGGAGGGTGGGAGCGAGGGAGGTACGGTGGTGGTGGGCGGGATGTGTGCCCGCAGTCCTCTTCGTCTCCGATCCGCTTGGATGATCGTTGATAGTATATGGTGATGGATCGGCGAGCTAGGCCGGCCGGTGCGATCGAGCTCGCCGTAGAGATGATATCGATCGATGATGGCAGGTCGGTGCGGATGGAAACCGAGGGATCGGAGGATCGGACGGTAATTAAGGGTAAGCTGTGTCGATCTGCATGCATGTGCGGCACGCCAATGCAAATTGGCCCTGTTCGCTTGAGAAATTTGGAGAAATATGGAGAAATTTGTGAGAGAATGAACAATGAATTTCGGCTGAAATTCAGGACAGCCGAACGGCCCCATTAAAACCAAGCTAAAATACACGTGTACGTACGTACGTACTACACCACCGGCACCTGCTACCTACTATACATGCGTCTCCGATGATCCGAATGAACAACAACACGAACGCTAACTAAT